CAAACAAATTTATTTCCTGAATCAGCAAGCACTTCAAAGATTTTCATAAAGGTAAGGTTTTTTTTCCAAGTCCTTAAGCTTCTAAGGCAAATGGGGGCAACTGATATAGAACCTAGTCATGTTTGGAGTTTCTAAAAGGGATATGGCCTCTTTATTTTGTCTGTTTAGTAAACTATGCCTTAAAGAAGACCTGTGATTAGAGCTTCCACATAGGCAAGAACAAATTTAATCTCCGTGTCCATACTGTTACCAGATACTGCACTGAAAAGGCTGGCAGTAGGGTCAGTTAATGATAACTGCAAAGGCTGATTACATGATGTGGATTCCTGGACAAGAGGGAATTGTTTTCAGAATAATACATCATTGGGCACATACCAAACAGCTTTCTGTGATAAACTTCACTGCCCACCAGCGCTGGATTTGTATCACCAGAGCATGGATGTAGGACTCCATTTTTAACTGCTTAAATGACCCTGTCGAGTCTCAGTTCAATTTAATTTTTCATTCTGCTTCCTCAATTTCACTCTTCCATACCCGTTTAAAATCATTTGAAAACAGCTGTAGATTAGCATATGAAGAAACATGCCCAAAATTCTATTCTCTACTTCCAAAATATGTTTTTGTAATAAAAAACCACCCTGCCTGATATATTGGGGGGAAAGGGAGGGGTGCAAATATGTTGCATCCTACACAAACTTTCAAAGCTAAGTTTCTGATGGTAAGAAAACACTTTTTAGTTAATTTCAAGTCTGCATTTGTCCTCGAAACTCCAGAAAAATATATTTAAATTAATATGTTTAATAGAGTACTAATGAAGAAAAGTACCATATTTTGCATTAAAAATAAGACAAACTATAGCAGACAAACATTTCAAATACAGTTCTGAACAAATTATTCAGCCTCCAATTAGTCAATGAATATCCACTCCGAAAATGGTCAATAACTGAGGTCGAATATGGAAAGAATTTCTCAGCATACGATGTAGGACATCATGACATTGACTATAATTGAACAATTTAATAGTATATAGTGCTTTCAGGTCTACCAATTTTTTAAGTTAACCTTATCCAACCGAAGTCATGCAGAATAACCAAGAGTAATTTAACAGCCCCTTCATTATAACACTTCGATACTTATTATAAGTAATTAATTTAGTAAATAGTTTCTTCAATATTTTATTAAGTGTACCAGCTTTCAAATGTGTAAGTTTGAGTTAAGCATTAAGACACAAGCACGCAGAACACTTACTTACACAGATATTCTAGTTTAGTAACTGCTAAACTGTGTTAGGCTGAATAAAACTACAATGTTTTGCACATTGTTTTACTCCATCCTGAGTATCTTGATGGCACGTATTCACGCTGTATGGGCTTTCATAGTAACTTTTATAGAGAACACTACCAAACTAACAGTAGTACGAAATACAATACAATTCTGTAACTCTGAAATCTTTCCAGATTATAAACAAGGAAAAGGACAAGTACTGGCATGACATTTGAGTACCTATCTTGTGAACATGAGGATGCCTTAGAAATCTGAAATACTTTAGGTAATACTTTATATTATTTTAGTGAAAGATGATTCATGTCAGGTTGTAGCAGTGGAAAAAAAATAGAAAAATGGGAGCCAGATTCTTTACTTGATCCATATATACAGGGTGTGAGAAAATCATAAACAGCACTTTACACTTCATTTAGCCTATCCTCCGGGTAAGTAAATGTAGATATCAAGATTAAAGCCAGTATTATACTAGAAATTTAACACTAATTAAAATAAAGCAAGAATTAAGTCACTTGTATACTGAGTCGTCGATGGATAATGGTCTACAAAAATTGTGGTACTGTCACTTCCAAATAACTTATCATAATACAGTCAAAGATCAGGACATACAGAAATTAGTAACGCTCACGGTACTGTACATTTAAATCATGAAAAGGACCCCTAAAACAGTAAACAGTTTGGGGAATTGAATCTAATTTTTATAATCAATTCTATCACTAGGAATAGAATAATGAACGCTCACTACAGTTTTGTTTTTGTTTTTAATGTTCTGAGCTATGACTTTGCAAGTATCTCATGTGGAGATTTCAATCCCATTGCTAGGAAGATGAGAGCAGTTTAAGGGCGGAGGGCGTACTAGCATACATGTACTTCTCCTTTCTCCACTTGTCTGGAAGGTACATGCATGCTAGCTGGGAAGGGTGTGTTCTGCTACTTGAGTCCTGCTTTATCTTCAGTCTGTTCTTCTCCCTGCCCCCACATTTTTAATTACAGACATGCTTCGGACTAAAATATTTTTCACTCTAATTAGTGTCTACTCATTTCAAAGTTTAAAATAGATTCAAAAAATGTAACTTTTACTCTTTCTGAAAGCCAGTCTGTCAGGCTCTTGATCCTTTCTTCTGAGATCTGTTCAGTTCACATCTACCTCACTGATGGTCAATAGATTCCACACGAAGATAAACTACAAGACCTAGAACATTTAAACACAGCTTGATCTACAATGTCATTACTTGCATTGATAAGAAAAGGGCTGTTAAGTGAAAACAAAGCTGAATGCTAGAAAAGATGGCTGATCATAGAATTAGAAATAGGACGATTTAAATAAGACACACGATGGCTAGTCACTGTGTGAACTATATTGATCATAACTCTAAATTTGTTTTTAAAAGTATTTAAACAACTTCTAACTTACAGTTTTAAATGGTAACAGTTAAAGAAAAAAGAAAAAGTAACTCATTTAAAGAAATTCGTTTACAATTTAAAAGTGCTACCATAGTCATTGCCTTGCATTATTTTTGTCCTTATAATCCTTTATCCTTCTGGGAGGCACATTATTACCTTGTAAAGCAAAATGAAGGGTATTATTAGCCCTTAATTATACTGTTCTGACCCTACAGATCAGGCTATGCCAGCCTTTCCATTTTAAAATCTTATTTTAAGGGGTTTATGACTTAGTCATAAAGTCCCGCCTGCAACTATTTAGAAGACGGAGCAGGGAAGGGGGAGCTTTAAAAATTACTAGAGCCTCTAATCCTGTAAAGGTCTAGAAGCGTGCTCGGAAAGCACTCTGACATCACAGGGACTGCTGCGGTAAGTATGCCCAAAAACATATCAAGGTTCCTTCCTTTATCAAGGTTGATCTTTGAATGGAACAGAAAAGGAAAAGCATCCCTGCAGTCGTCTTTCGTTGAAGAAGTCATAATCTTAGTATCTTCAAGATCTTGTCTGCTTCTGCTCAATACTAGCGTCAAGCATACAATGAGAAGTTTATGTGAAGTTCATTGTGAATTGCTGTGCATCTACCCTTAAAGATCCAGGGTTCCTCAACATTCTGCCTACTGCCAACAGAGGAGAAAGCTATTTCACCCTCTGTCCACCTATTAGTTTTGTCTAGAGAGGTTTTCACCCTTCACCTCCTATTTCAAAGCACTAGTCGCTTGTCTTAAACTGAACGTCAGTAGGTACGTTATGCCTGCTACTAGCAAGTCACAAATGGTTTTCAGTTCAGGATTCAAGTTACCAGAAACCAAATACATAGATACCCAAATACTGAAGACTAAAAATCAAAACTGCATGTGAGGTGGGGTCAAATATTTTCTTATGGTAGAGTGAGACACCCTTCAGTTTCTTCAGAGACATAATTACACCATGTATTTGTAATACAGTATTAGTATGGTAAAGAGAAGATAACCTGCGAGAGAGAGTTTAATGTACCAGATCAGGAACTCTGACATTGTTAATAATTGTTTCTGGCCATGTCTTGTGGGTATTAAACTTCAGTACTACTTTGACAATTCCTCTCCAGTTTAACTGTAGACAGGCTTTTGTGACCTTTCTTGATTTGCACCACTTTTCTACCACTTCACCTCCTCTTCAACCTTACAGGTGAAAGACTGCATATATTCTTCCTCTATTTCTGAATTATTTGACAGTTTTTCCTTTCCACAATATTATAGCAAATAACCTTCCTACTAAGATCATCATCTTCAGCTATTACTGCCTTCTAGATTCCCTCTTTGTCCTTTCAGATTAGCCGACTGCTACTTCTAATGTTATACTATACTATATACTGAAGTTTCTTGCATTCTCACTCCCATTGACATTCACTTTCCTTGTTATGTAAGAATTCTGCATGTCCAGCCATAAAGCATTAAAACATTAAATTACCTCGCATAAACCAGGATTACCTAAAAACAAAAAAAAGACTATTGGATCTCCTTAGGCCTCTGAAATAAAAGTTCTACATCAACATAATTAAGTTGCCTAACCTGTTTGACAGCACAGTCATTTCCTAAAGCAGCGTCTGGTCCAGAACAGACATAAACATTAGAAGGTAAGCTGTCATATGAATTTCTGTCGATGCCTGAAGAATCTCTCATGTTGAAGTACACAGCCCAGAGGACTCTGGGTTTTTCCAGTTCCTCATTTTCAGTCTCTAAAAAGGAAAAAGTGTTTCCAATAATCAATGCTCATGTGTAATAGGAGAAATACGGAATTTAGCACATTAAAAGTCAATTTATTAGCATGAAATTACTGTAATAGAGTATAAATATGTATTTTTTTTAAAGGCCAACTAAGGCGTGCTAATAGCGCTTTTAATATGATTCTTTTTATAAGGTTTCTAGAAAGGATTTTTGTAATTAACCATTTAATGCTGTAAATCTTGCTCGCTTATTACAAATTTTAACTTCCTTATCTTAACCAAAAAAAGTCCTTGAATCCACGCTACTTTCACATTCTGTAAGTTAACAAAGAAGGGTTCTTTTTACATGGTTATGTACTAAGTAATGTCCCCATTTTCAAGTTGCAATTTTCTAGTACAACACATTTCCTGTCTTTTCACCATCGGCACCTGCCTTTTAATTTCAAGGCAAATAATGTGACGTTTTGTGTTGCTTTGCTCTGAAAAGAATAACAAAAATAGAGGAAGGGTAAATAACTGCATGTATCCCTACATTTAAAGCCCCGAAATCAAATTTCATATTCATTTCATTTAAGAATAAGTAGAAATGGTAAATTAATCCCATTGTCCATATCCATATTTAATTTTATTTTCTACTTTTTTCTGAGGTGCTGTTGATAAATACTTCTGTTTTCCATTACAACTGTAAATATGTAAATTCTATTTATTCTGTACACAGAATGCTAAGCAAGAACCAATATCACCAAGACAAGCACCAAGAAGCTGGGTCTAAATATAAGACACAATACTCATTATGCATACAAAATGACCATAAACTATGTCTTGTTTGTCCATCACCTGCACCTTCTTGCAGTTACTTTGTACTTTATACGCAATCCCTCTGCACATCATCAGGAAAACCTCTGAGAAGAGGAAGGTCACATTTTAACAGTGCAGAATGCAACAGAGGAATACACAACATAGGTTCTGAGCTTAATAGATACTATCTGTTTGGCAAATTTGCTGTCCCTTTTTGGTATTTTACTTCCTCTAAAATAAATGATGCCTGTAAAAGACCTTGCAAGGTTTACTTCTTTCCAAGGAAGAAACTTCTAGATAACAACGACTTTCAGAATAGTATTTTAAAATAGTTGAATTAGGGGGAAAAAAAAAAAGATAAATCTATGCTATTCCTTCAGTATCTTCTTATAACTGTCAAATACTTAAAAAAAAAAAAAAAAATAAAAAAAAAAAAAAAAAAAAAAAGGTGCTAACCATATTAAACAATTTGAAATATAAATTAAATTCATCAGCCTGTGAAAGTCTGAGCCTTACTACAGGGCAAGATGCTCTTTAATATATTTAAAAGTTCACATTGCTCATAAAAGTTACTTCTTCCTCATTTAGGCAGGAAAATGAATGGAGTCCTCTTCTCCAGGTGACTTTGCCTCTTTGACCTGCCATGGCCCAGTGCTCACTTTATCTGGTGATTCATTTTCAATAACTCCAACAGTATTTGTTCTGACATTTTAATTAAAATACGACCACTACCTCATCCTGATGATAAAAAGGCCTATGTGTCAGTGAAAACTAGCTTTTCAGTGCCTCAGTGCACCTGAGGACCCCTCTGATCACAGAGTTTCTACAGAAGAATTTCAGTCAGGTTCTAAACAATATATCATTTCAAAACTGGATCACTTTAAACATTAAGATTAATGCTAGCCCCCCATGACTAGAAGACACTAAACCACAGGCTAATCTTTTCTTCACCATTTGTACAAACACACAGTAGTATCTTCAAAATGTAAGATATATACCCAATATTAAAACTTGGAAATCAGTGAGCTTTAAATTAACAAATACCAAAATGAGAAGTGATTGTAACTATTCAACCTATTCAATAACTTTTTTAATATTTATAAACCCTTCTTATGTCCTAAATATTTGTTTTCTAAAGGGTACAAACCTAAGTAAAACAGCTGAGTCTTTGGGATATCAAAATAAAGTATGCCATTCCGGATGTGGGTAGGGTAGACAATGTACATTACTTAATATTTAACTTCCCATTCAAACCACTTTGTTGTCTAACAAAGACAATAATAAAGTATTTTCTTGTTTATTAAAAGGTTAGGAAAGATACAGAAATAGCAAAGAACACAGACAGACAAAATTGTGAGAAGCTGAAGTCAACCTTTCATGAAATTTTGTTGTCAGTTGTAGAACCCTTAGAGAAAATATAGTGCATATGAAAGATATTTAATATTAGAAAACTGTACCTGAATTCATGAAGTAAAGAGTGATGCAGAGCAGCGAATATTATAAGCAAACAGAATATTGTAAAATACATCCACATCAAACTTCTGTATACAATCATAAACACTTTCACAGGCAACTAAACATTGGTTTCTCATAGAAGAACTACAATTTACTATATTTAAATATGAGCATTCTATATTTAAAAAGGCTTTACCGGAGTTAGAATATATAGCAACAGCTTCTATGAGCACACTACCTTAGAAACGAACTCATTATATAGATGTCTACTAAAAAACATGATTAAATTCAACATCTTGGGATTATATTTCAAAGATTTGTGTTGACTAACTCAAATTAGCTCAGAGACAATTTCTTTCTTAGTAAAAATTGCTTTGTCAACAGCTACTTTCCTCTTGGACTATGAAATTGTTCATCTGAAGGTCAAAGCTCATGAAAGCAGCTGGCAAGGTTTCCTTGAACACAGGGCCAAAAAATTCATTACTGGAGATCAGAATGGCTAGGAATCTCTCTGCCTTCCCAGTAACACTCTAGTGCATAGCTCCTTTACACTTCAACTTCTGGAAAACAAAATCCACAGACCTTCAACTAAAAACAGTAAACAAGAAAGCACTCGAAGAGAAAGACTGAAAGGATGAGCACAAGAGTTGGAATAGAAGAAGGCAAAAGAAAACTAAGAAGCTTATCGCCCTGAGCACATTTGGCAGCTGGAAGGGAAAAGCAGATCACTAGCTTTTTGAGTTTTAAGATCTTTCGTCAGAGACACATACAAGTGACAGAAATGACGAGAAACAGGATAGTGCAAAAAAGATAACAGGTGCACATATTTTTGTTTTCACTGATGCATCTTTGAAAGAAAGAGATGCTGAGAAGCAAATACAGTTCCATGAAAAAAAATTCAAAATCAAAAAGACACTCATACCCATGGCCCTGGTATACTGAGGTTAAACCATAGCTGAAGAACACTGGGAACATTAGATCATGAAATAGAGAAAACTGACACCATCGGATCATTATCTCCCTCTAAAATTCCTTCCTTTACTTTGAAACACTGATATCAAAGTAGCAGTTCCCAAAACATGTTGATTCTGATGATGGATTCTATATGTCCAGTAGCAGCTAGTTTAGTTAAAAGGCTAAATTATTATTTTTTTTTTAAATCAAGACAACCTCTTAGTATTTATTTATTTTTACCTTTTTCTGTTTCAGTATTTAGACTGAACAACTTCTGTACAACAGGTTCTAAATCTTCTCTAGCAGTTTCAGTTGATGGACAGGTTAAGTGAACTAAATCTGTTAAAAGAGAACAGAAATTAATTACAATCACCAGTATGGAGATACATAAATATCATTTACAATTTCTGAAAGATACAGCAGGCTTTTAGAAATCATTGTTCTTCATATAAATCACTTCCTTCAATCCAGAAGTACTGTTATTATGGAAATTCTGTGTGTGTGTGTGTGTGTGTGTGTGTGTGTGTGTGTGTGTCCATCCATCCCTACATATCTAAATACATGCATATCTCTCTCTATAGATAGGTATATACACTTCCACACAAATGTATATATACATTTATAGATACAGAAATTTTCTTAATATCTCATCACTAAAAGTTTGCACAGATCTCAGAAGGCACTGAAGCTGCAGGCTGAAGCACTTAAAAACAGGCACTAGGTATCAGCTCATGTTCATGCTAAGTGCAATTGCAAAATAAGAATTTGCTACAGAATTACTTTTAAAAACATTGAACCCCTAATGGTATCCTCCAGCATGCAACATGAAGTCTCCTCTTCTAAGAGAAGCCATTCATTCATTTTCTGAGTTGTTCAGTGGTCAAAACATGAATCTCACAATCCTCTCTCCCCTCCATATAAATTGGTAAAATTGAACTATAGTTTAACATCAATAGCGCAGATGGAGAAAATTATTCTAGGAATAGGTGTCTTCAGATAGCAGAGAACAGACCATGTTAAAAAAGCAGCAGCAGAAAACTAGATGAACGCCTCATTTTTTTAAACTAATAATCACTAGAAATAGCAAGAATATTCTTGATCATTGCCTCGATAGTCAAATAGTGCAATAACATACTAAAACCACAGATATCATCGCTTCAACTCTTTGACTCTTTGGTCATGCCCTCACTACCCACAGTTTAAGTCTGGGTGGACAGGAGTAAGTAGGAAGGCATCTTTCTCCACTGAAGGAAAAAGTCTAAGCAAGACTCATTTCTTTTATTGTGTTAAAGAGTAAATGGGAGATGAAATAAACAGAGGCATGTTTCAACTTACAGCTTAAGTAGATTCATTTATTTCCCTTCTTACGGAATGGGAGAAACAATAGTTTCGTATTAGGATAAGGGTGAAATTAGGTTATGTGAGCTAGTAAGTACTTATGATGTTTGGAAAACTGATTTCAAAAACTTGATTTTAAGAAGCGCTCCGTACACATCAGAAACAAACTGCAGACTACAGCAAACTCATACTGAAAAACATGACACTGAAAGATTTTGGACAATAAGAACAGATGTTATGAAACTGTATAACTAATCAATATCCACCTTAGAGCACAGGCAAACCAATGTTACTATACCCATTTTTGTATTTGTGACAATTCACAATTTTGCTCGAACAACACAGGTTTAACGTTTAGATTTCTTGTTCACATACTTGTCTTTCACATACTGTGAAAATAAAGCGACAGCATGTTCCATGAGGAAGCTTTCTAGCAACTTTATTTTTTCTGTTTTGCCAGCTAATGAAGTTGCTGACTTAGAAAAGATAATTTCTTGATATAGCTCTTGATCCATTCTGTCCCACGGGTCTCTCTTCAGACAGAAAGGCGGCTACTCTGCTGCATTATCCCAGCTGACTTTAAATCTATTCAGATATTAAAAAGTCTCATTTTAAAGCTTTTTATAAATCTGCATCAATGGACTCACTTGCTTCTGAATAGTTGTGTGGAAACTCATTAGCAGTGAAAGAAGTAATTTGTCACAGCATCATGAAGATCTTTAACATAACTTTATGCAAGTTTTCAACTGAATTTTTTCTTTGCTATTATACAACTTTGATCAATTTAACAGCAATGTATAGCTACTATCATAATAGTTAGTTGCTTCAGAGTTGAAAGAAAAATATCATATGAATTAAAAGTCTTGCTATATTTGAGTCATTATTTCACCTACCAATACCTCATACCTATCTCGAATGACTTCCTGGCCCCAGTTATGTCACACAAAGTTTGACATAACTCCAGAAGGATCAGAATTCTAACCTTTTTTTTTTTTTTAAAGGAAGAAAAAAAGATTGCACACACCAAAGGCTATCTTCAAACATTAATACTCCCTTTTAGATTTGACTAAGAACCAATTTGCTCTCTAAAAATTCTAAAAAAGTAAACAGAGGTGGTAATAACAAAAGTCTTCCTGCAACCTTAATTAAATGATTACTACTTCAAACACTGTAATACTACCTGTTTTTTCCTAAAAAAAGGAAAAAAAAACAGAAAATCAAAAAAGCCCACGGATATAAATCACTAAAGTTCACATCATTTACTTTCTATAAAATCATTTTTATTATCTTTAAGGTTATGGCTATGAGTTGCAGTCATCAGTATATATTTTGATTATATTTGATTTACTCAGGTATAACTGCATTAGTTACAGTGGTTGCCAACATTTGTCTTCAAGTAATTCTTCTAGCAGGAAGAACGATGAGTTTAGTTCATGATTTCATCATTACAGTCTCAATTTTTAGGGCAAGTGAAGGAGTTTGGTTCCACTCAACTGGCAATACAGATTATGTGCCTGTCATTTATGCAGTGCGATCAAAGAGTAGATGTATTTGTATACTTATCTTAAATAATTGTTTGAGGGAGAAATAAGTCAGGTTAAAACCCATTTACAGATAATGATGTAAAAGTAAAAAAAGAGGTTTATGAAATCTGCCCTACAACTAGAACTTAGCTATACCTAAAATACAACTATTATTATTTCAGTACTTTGGTCAAGGCCTATCATTCATAAAACCAAACAGTAAAGTAACAAAATTTGCAATTTAAAAACACGAAGACAGTTTTATCAAGGAAGGTAGCAAATTCCCTTCTGAAATTAACAGATCATATGAAAAATAGCATAGCATAAAAATTAATGAATGAGGAAATACTAACAATGTATTTCATTCACTTGCACTTATTAAATAAACAGATTTCTCAAATTTTTTTTATTATTTAATATAAGTATAGGAAATAGAACTTTGAATGACTTGATCATGCAATTCACTATTCTTTCACGTGAGAAGACCTGAGCTCAAGCCTAGGTAACAATAAAATAAATTGGTTATTATTACGATTACTTATTTTCTTTTAATTTAAATGTTATCTGACCTAACAGTTTTTACTCTATTCATTTCCCACAGAGTGTCCCAAACTGTGACACTATCTATTTAAATCTATTTAACAGATTTTAGAAGATGTATTTGAAAAGAAAAATATTTACACGATATGCAATATTTTTTGGCTCATCTATTTCAGTTTGCATAAAACATGAACAGGTCAGTTATAAAGCTCTGTAGACAGAAAACTCTTAATGGAAATACTGGGATGCCCCTTCTAAAAAGGTGATCTCTTAGATATTCTTAGAATTAAATGTTCTAAAGCAGACGCAGTCAATAACATTCTTAAGGAACATGTTTGTTCCTCAAACGAATCATCGTGAAGTAGCCATTCCCTCTAAATCTCATAACTAGACATAACTCTACCTCACCCCAAACCTTTCAGCAGTCACCAACAATTTAGTAGCAAGACACTTTAATTAATACTTCAACAACAGCTGTCTATTTTCAAAAACAAAAAAAACAAAAAAAACCAAGCTCTACAGACAAGCCATCAATAAGATTCATGCAGTTTAACATTTCATCTACTGATGGAAAGATTAATTATCCTATCAATGAAAATGAATCTAAAGAGAATTACATTAATTGCACATTATATGCTGATGAAGAAAAAAGCTGCAACCAACAAGAACACATGCTCCAAATTATTCTGCATATACTTGAATCTTGTATGGAAAACCTATTGTTCTGAAAATGAAAACAAAAATTTGTAGCGTTTTTTGGAAGGCCACAGAGTCAAGTGGCATAAAGATCCTATTAAATTCTAAAGGTAAAACTGTTATACTTGCATCTATATAACTAAGACTTCACCTTTTGCCTTTGGTTTTTTTTTTTAATGATTTGAGATTTTTTAAATGGTTCTTTTTGTCCCTTTAATCAAAGGGGTAAGAAAATTCTTGGCAGAAGATTTTGCAAGAGAAATAATTTCAAGAAAAAAAAGGCCGGGGGGAGGGGGGGGGGGGGGGGAGAGGCCCCTAGCCCACTAGAGTGGGAAAATAACAGTATCTAGAGCTCTCAACAAATCTTATCTGTCATTCTAATAATTCTTTGGTTATCTTAATAATCTTGCAGAATAAACAACATGTGAAATTCTAATTTTTTAAATGTAAAAATATTCAGCATCCAAAAAGCAGCTAAAGCAACATAAAGCTCTTTGTTGGTGCTATTTTAAAATTACTATCCTGGGACAAAATTCTGTTTTCTTTACTAGTAAGACTGTAACTATCAAGTTCTTCAGCCATATAAAAAGTGTAAAAAGAATATTAGATCTTTGATATGTGATCCATTTGGAAACGAAGAACAACCTATCTTACTGCTATGAGAATCACAATAAGATTTTAAATAAATAATTCTTGCATGTAAATTAAAAAAAAACTTATTCAAATGCAAGAACCTTGCAGTATGATTCACAAACCAAATGAAAGATCCCATAATTGCTATAGATTTAAGACAGTGGTCTATTTCTTTCATTTTCTGATAACAGCAAGCCAGTATAGACTGTTTTCTCAGGCAGTAATGAGATAATCATGCAACAGAGCAATGACAGAGACCTACTTTAAGTTTTTGTTTCAGAGTTGATATAATCAAAGGAAAAAACACAGTTAAGAACACATAAGATAACCTGTACTTACAAGTGTCCTTCATGCATGTCATGGTTGAGGAACACAACTCAATCATGCAAACTGCCGGTTGCCCTAGAGCCACTGGAGGTACCATCAAAATGGAAACCTATTAAGCAGGAAGAGAAAAGAAAATTCTGAATATCAAACTAATTTAAAAAGTAAATTCATCTATACTGTATTATCTTACACTGAAATACTGTAAACTGCATCTCTATTAATAAACTATTAACAGTTCAAGTAAAATTGGCTTGGTATTCAGGGCGCTAAACTTCAAAAAAAAAAAAACAAAACAATATTAAAACACCATAGGTAACTATCAGATCAATAACCATAAAATATCTGGAACAGATAACAGATTTATGCTATCTAGGTACACGTACACATGAACATACACATTGATTTGTAAAGTTACCTAAAGACAATCTTGTTACAAAAATCAGAGTTTTAAGATTTCTATATTTTTGCAAGAATAAAAAATTATTTGAGCCTTACAAACAATTACCAAGAATGTCATACCTAAATATGCATAACACCACAAACATATCTGTATTTGCTCAGCAGTCTGCAAAAGTTTATCAACCCCATAAATATGTATTTACACAACAGACAAAGCAAGCTCCAAAGAAGCAGTTATTGTAAACTCCGCTACATGCGATCCATGACAGATTTGTTTCTTATATGAAATGCAGAAAAAAATCACAAACTAGTCTATGTCAAAACAAAGTAATGTGAAGGAACGGACAACGAACAGAATTCTGAGAAGAGACAAAAATAACTGCTGATACAGTCTTAGTTTCTGGTTTATTTGTAATAGAATCTATGGGATCAATCCCGCAGAGTTTGTGGATACAAAAAAATTCTACTAAATGAGGAAGGCCACCTTTGTTCCCGAAAGCAGCAGCAGTAGCATCAAAACGTTCAGAAAATACCACATTGTAGCCCTTTCCAAAACGATGATTCTCAGCTTTTTATCTGAGAATTGCTTTTCACCACAAGTCACAGAGAGTTTAGGAACTGCAGTTGGCAAGGGATTGCAAAATGGCTTTTGAACATTGGGTGCAGCACGGTTAGGTGAGAACGACTGGAGTACTTTTATGTGGGACTGCTAGCAGCAAGGCACAGGAAGAAGAGACTTCTCCGTCACCTATTTTCTCATTTTGTAGGACCCAAATGAAAATATAAGAGAACACAGGACACAACAAATTAAACAGAAGAAACACTTTTTACACAGAACTTAATTTTAAAAGATATTTAAGACTGATAAAGCAGAAACATTTAAAGAAGGAATGCATAGGAATAGAATTTGGAGCTGCAAAAATGAACGCTAAAAAGAGTTTTGAACAAAGCTTACACAACAGAATTGATTAACAGTTAACAGTCAGATTATTAATGGCAACAATGTTAAAAAGCAAGTAAAATAGCAGCTTAGCAATTGTGTCAATTAGTATAGTCAATCAGCAAACAAGGAAACCCAAGTCACTGAACTAGAAGAGATATAGTTTTATAGGCACTAATGAAATAGACAACTGTCAGTAGAGCAAGCTGACCAAAATGCTGGAATCAAGCAGGAATCAAAGCATGAATTAATTGCAACAGCTAAATATTAATACATACAATTCAGAAGAAGTAAGTGATACAAACAGAGGCAAGCGATGCAAAATCGATATATACCTGCTGCTCTGAATCTGTTTTTAGGATGGTCTGATCTGTGATGAGTACTGCTCTGGAGATCTGTCTGCAATTAAAGAAAACAAATATGGCATTTCACAAAAACAGAAAAAAATAGCAACTTGGATTCAGTGTTTCGACAACAAAAATTTAAACATAGTAATGTGGGGGTGTTAAATATATAAACTTTATTAATATGACTATGTACATATTGCATTGAGCATATACTGTGATTGGGATCATTTGTCTTTTGCTGAATTAGGTCCAGCTACGGAATATTAATGTAGTATTTTCAATGACCAAGATAGATGACCAATAAATGAGTCAGTGCCATTGTGTAAAACACCTTGACTATCCTTCTGATTTAAAAGAGTGTTTATTTTATGAAGAGCAGTAGTTCCATGCTATAAGACTTTTTATGTTCCAAAGAGCATAGGACACTTTGGATTAAGGGAAAACTAACTAGGGTGGAGCTCATGAATTCAAGCGTCGAATCCTCTGTTGACTATATCTGCACTGCATTTACTACTATAGTTTTGTCTTTATCTCATCTGCAATATGTTGAGGACAAAGGCAGCATACGTTCAGGGACTACTGAAATGCTTTTGATCAGAAGCCAGAATATAAAACAAAAAAAATAAACAAAAAAACCACAAGCAACGACTGTTAATACTTTTCCAAATCTGAACAAACTTATAGAGAGAACAGGCACCTCCATCTTCCAAGGACCTTTCAACACATGTGAAATCCCTGATGCTGGGTATTTTCAAAAGAAAAAAGGGAATATAAATTAAAGGAACATTAAAGAAAAACCTAAACACAGGAGGTACAGTATGCTCTAAAGTATATACACTAATGAAAAGCCATGCACAGAACTAAGTGGGTTGTATTACAAAGATAAAGCAGAAGGCAATAATCTCTTAACTTACAGTATACTGCATACACTAGTATTTTAAGAGATTTACTATGCTTATTATTTTACTACGTACCTGTAACACACATTTTTACATGTGCTCCCTGACAGGTAACTATCTTCCACAACAAAATAGCTGGCACTTATTCTTTGTCCAAAGTGATCTAGGATAGCTTTGCATCTGTTAAAGAAATAGTCAAACCAAAGTAAGAAGGAATTCATCCATAACAGTATTCATAATTTGGTTAAGTTTTTGAAATCAAGTGGTAGAGAAAAATCATTTAAATCTGTCAAATAAGTTAGCCATAAATATTTAACATGCAAACCCTAAAATAACTCAACTGAAATTCATACAGAAATCTTAGACACATATATTCTACATGGCGCATACAATTCTTTGTGCTGAATCAGTCGTAATGATGTTAGCATATTAAAGGAGCCATTTTATTATTAAAGCCAAACATAGGCTCATAATACCGGCATTTTACTGTACACGAAAATAGAATGTTTCCTGCCTTGTGATACATGGAAAGCTACACGATGAAAGGTTTTGCAGCTGTTACGCTACCACGCTGATATTTTTCTCCTATCAGCAACCTTTGTGAAAGAAAACTTTATTTCAGCAATAATACTTGACAAATTAAAAGGCAATTTTATTTTAGAGATGTAAAGGAATATCCCTGAGAAATGTTTGCATCAGACTGTTGCAAGAGAATTTTTCTAAACTTCTAGGATTCTCTCATTCATGATTAAATACAAAATTTATCTCTAAAGTTGCACACAAAATGAATAGCTAGGTCACGCTGCTTTAAGAGCAACATAAATGTTCTTGATAGATACCGTCTGTCCTCGAATGCATTCAGATTCTAAGGAAAACATAGATTAGTCTGCCTCAGGCAACATTTGGAAAAGTAACAAAACTCTTTTTGAATGCAAGGAGGTCAAAACAACGCGGCAATAATTACATGCTGTGACACTACTACAAAAGACTTTCAAGAGCCTACTGTAACTGACCCTGCTCTAGGTTGTAACCTGCGTATATAACCGCAGTTTACAATATTAGGGTTTCACTGAAGAAAGCAGAAACGCGAGTCTATGCAGTGGCTATTCCTACACCTCTAAAGGATATATTTATGACAGAATATTTCTAAGGATTTCACTAGTGCTGGATTAGTTCTTTGTTGGCTCAGCAACCACTTCCTCATCCCTCCTTGCCAGCTATTTCTTCTAGAAAACCCTCTGATAACGATAGTGTGTCACAATACTTGAGGTCACAGTAATCTTTCATCCTGGTTACTATGAAAGAGTTACATAACAGGCTAGCTCTTTATCTAAATCTTATTAATGGGATAGAAATGCAAACCACAGGAAGGTATGAAACAAAAACCTTAGCCTGTGTGGAATAGGATTCAAATTTCAGATTTTATTGAGGGAAAAAAAATCTGTATGAGAGAAAAAACTCGATACTTTAATATGATCCATACAAAAAAAAAATCAGATATAAATGAAAAAAGTTGCATATATATATTAAAAAACTGTAATGCTGACTCCTATATGCTTTGATTTGTATTCTATTTAATTCCATATATCTTCTCAAACTGAAAAACTGCATACACTTTCTAAAAAAGCCCTACAGTTCAAAAGGGAACCTATCTTAAAAGATTGCTTTTACTACTGTCAGTGCAAAAAAAATATGTAGACTACAATTTTTTTTCTTTACGGCTTATTTCCACAGCATAAGAATCTTTAAGGTTTAATATTGACTTCCAAAAAATATTTTAAGGTTTTCTATAATATCAGGACATTTATTGTAAAAATAAATAAGAGTTAAAAAAAAGTAAAGCAAATCAACTTTATTTACCTTTCACCTGATGCATATTTCAGTTGCTTCGCTAGACAGGATTCAAAACAGTAAACTCCCTCTCACACATTTACACGCACACATACGCACACGTACACAGCAGGAAACCAAAGGAGGCCTGGCACCGAGCCCCCTTTACAACTTCAAATACATTTAATCACAGCGCAACTTTACTCTTGTGCAGTAAATAGCTGGCAGGCAAATTATTCCTCAAGAGTAATCAACACTTCTGTAACTTCAAGTTATTAAGCAGCTTCTGTGAACAGAACAACCTACTGGACTAGACAGGATGAAAATCAAACCTAAATAAATGCAATCCACTGCCACTTGCTTTTGCAGGTTTAGAATTTCACCCTACTTTCTACGGTCTGAAATGACAAGTGAAAAAGGGTAAATGCAATGCTTATTTAGAAATGTAAAAATGTATTTAACCACCACTAACTTGGTATAATAGTAACTTCTAACGCTCATTTCAGCGCAAAGCGTACTACGCATACAACTATATTCCAATTCAACAGATAACTTGCAAAACAGTCCAAAAGTCTAATGGCAGAAACGGTGTCACTTGATATGTGCAGCACTCTTCACACAGACTGTAAACAGCCTTCTCTTCAGCATGCGTTTCACCTGCTACTTTAACAAGTTTTCATTCTTAGCGTTAGCCTAACTGATTTCATTCTCAAGCGCTCATTTAAATACTGCAAATAAACAAGGAAGTCACGCTGGTACAGTTCATATCTAATTATAACCTTTCTTATTGTTTATGAAACAGTTTCCCCTGCCACCCCCTCAAACGTTCTGGAGGGGGAAAGGTTGATTAAATGTCATGTTGCATCACTTAAAGCCAGCAAAAGCAACTACATGCTTTTTATTTTCCTGCTAAGTGTTGTTTCCTCTCCTTTGTTCAGGAATAGCTATCAGGTCATATGTTTGATAAGATTTTAAACAGAACAAGAGACTGTGCTTTTAAGATCAGTCTCCACTTTACTTCAAAGGATGATGCAGAGAAAATTTCTTTCAAGTACTGTTTCCAAATATGGAAAACACTTATGCACTGACATTATCAGGTCTCTGTCATCTGATATGTGTTGGGACGATGAATCATACAGAACCCTCCATTGACCTTCTTTCAATGTGTCTAGATAAAAGGATGAAAATTAGAATCCATCTCCTTGCAGTGCCACGAGTTATAAATGTACTTTATAGGGCTCATTATCCAAACTAATGGACTAAGGGCGACATCCTTGAAATGGACTTACCAGCACTGACAAAGCCAGTATGCAATATTTCAAGAAAGATATGTAAATTACTATGTGTTTGCTATATCTTTTTATTACAGATATATAAATTTACATTTATCACGTCTTTTCCATTTTTGAGACAGAATTATGTGATCAGAAACATATTTAAACTGTGATCAACATAAAATGTCCATTCTTTTCAATGTAAGCCATGTAAATTAAAACACGTTAAATTTTATCTGATAAAATGAAATAAGTGACTACTTATTTACTACTAAAAAGTAGAAAATAATCCTAAGTACATTCAATTTTCTTTTTCCTCAAGCTAAGCAACATGATGTATTTTTTATTTTCCTAACAGATCATCAGAGCTATACTAAGTGTGCAGGATGTTCTGCATATGTATTAAAACACTAGACCTAATCTGATGCAGCAAGTAAAAAAATTACATTTTTTAATTGGATCACTAAAAACCTTACAAGAAGAATGTCTAAAAGTTTCCATGTTTTCATACTGTCTTCCCGGAAACTCATATCTATAAAAAGGGCTACAGCAGCATGATAAACATAGCAATAGAATTTGTCCCAGATACACAGTTCTCTGAATATATAGTTATGGATAGTAAAAAACATGAAAAAGCAGTTCAGCTAGACGATGATACTGGTTCTTACTTTTTTGTGCTAGAGAGACTATTAATCGTGTCTAGAAAAAACTTGAAAATTAATTTTAGTAATTTTTAGGAGACTTCAAATTAAAGTCTAAATGAACAAAATTAGAAAAGAAGATCACGGCACTTATCTACAAACAAATTTTCCTTATATCTACTGAGGAGAGTTTTAAATATATAGTTCGCTAACCACAAGAAGATCTTGATGCAAGTCTGGAAGCTTACGCAACATGTTTATAGAACAGTAATGAACACTGCACAATTTGACTAAGTTTCTACTGTTCAGAGATTGAAATATTTGTAATCAACAAAGTAAGCTGTCCCTGAAACTACAGGTGGTCTGTGACAGAGAGACATGACTTTGTCTATTATCAATTACTATTAATGGACTGTTGACTCAAAAGCTCAGTAACTCACAAATATCCTCATTAACAATTTGATAGCTGATCTGTAGTAGGCAGAACAGCGAAGCCCAGAGTCAACAAGAAACTGGAGCTGGCGCGGCGGGGGGAAACGCACAGTAAGGAAAAGAGGTAGGACAAAAAAAGGGGGGGGGAAACGCAAAAAAAAGAAAAAGAGGAAAAAAAAAAAAAAAAAAAAAAAAAAGAGGAAGGGAAAGGAAAGAAGTTAGTAACGATCCTAACAACAAACTGGTTCGCTTGCCAAGTTACAGTGTAGCAAAAGACCTTCAGGAAGTAAAAAGCTGCACTACCTTCAGGTGAGAGGAAACAGACACAAAATAAAGAGAAACTATCTGCAGGAGGTAGGGAACACGCCGGCCACCAGGCGTTTGCACCACATGCGTCAATACTTAAACATCATAGCAGGCAGGCGGCTCCAAGCAAACGGCAGGTGATTGGACGGGCAAGCTGCCCGGGTCGGGCTGCCTCATATTCAGCAACAGATAATGGCATTATTAAAAAAACTAATGTTTTTGGAATAAAAAGAGAGAGTCTGGTAAAGTCATTTAAAAAAACATCAATACTTCTGCACCTCAAAATCTAGCCTACAGTTTTAAGTGCAAAACAGCGTGAGTGAGCCATTAAATCAGCCTAACAGGCGAAACAGGGAGGCTTGAAATCTGTCAGGATCTCTGACAAACTTATTAGAGCCAAAGCAGAAAGGTAGTTTAAACAAAACCTAATACTTCAACTTATTTTCAGAAAACATATAATCTCAGTAAAACAGATATTAACCTCTAGCACCCTGAAAATGTGCAAAATAAGCTGGAAATTAGGGGAACCAGCATCACCGATCAGCAAGAACTCCACAGAGCGATGTCTGGAAGTTGTTAACAACTCAAAGTTTTTTTCCCCTCGGAAATAACGAGTAACTATTCAAACAACACTGGAAAATAAAGCTCCCTAGTAAGAGTTCAAATATTACTGTTAAAAATACAAAGTTTATGAAAGGGACATAATTTCATTTGCATATGAACATGCACTTGGGAACACATACGATGACATACTACCACACTTGCATCTCAAGGTCTAAAACCGTGCAATGACCTTTAGAACTGTAAACGACCAATGGAAAGATAAACGGCTGCTTATAGAATTTCAGGAAAAGCAGATGTTACTTGACCATGTCATAACAAATTTAGCTATAAATACCACGCTAAAAGAATCCACTGCGCATCGCAACTGGAAAGCAGAGATACTATACTGATAACTTAACTACTAATTTCCCTATCACATAACCTTACTACGTATTTCCTAGCTTGTCACAATTTTCAACACAGTATTTTGAAGTTTTTAATCACAAAAACTAAGCTGACAAACTTCTTAAAAGAGCCAAAATTATTATCACAGACTAGTAATTGTTAGAATGCACATGAACAGAAACCATGCCAATCTTCAGAGGTGCGAACAATGCCAGTACGGACAAAACTATGGGCTGACTTTTCTTTGCTCAACTTCAAACCTGCCTCCAGGCCTGATATTGTTGTAAAAGAATTTATCCTACGATAAGAAGGCAGCATAGTTTATGACAACAATCTACCTAAAAACTCATTAAAGTCTTTTCTCTCGGAGTGACATGCATTATCAGCAAAGATTAATCTGATGAGTCTTTAGGTGAGCTCCATTTTTAAAAATGCAATAACAGAGGCTTTGTTGTCATCTGATGAAAATCAATTAGAGTAGGTAAGGCCACAAGGAAAACTAACATCACTCATCACCAGCCCCCCGGCAGCTGAAATGATTTGTCTTCCAAGCTTGGGTGATCAGGAGCTGTAGTAATATCACGGGGAAATTAATTTCGTTTCTATATTCTAGATCCACTTTCCTTGTTCTGGAGGACCTATACACAAATTACTTTTAATCAAGGTTGATGTGTTATTAATACCAAGGAGGATCTTTGAAGAATCATTTTTTTTAAATTGACTTAATGCATTTTTCATCTGTATTTTGTATATAAACAGAAGGTTACTTATATTATCCTTACCGTCCAGATTCTTTGTCCACTACAAGGCACTGCACAGAATGGCGAAGACAATAGATACCACCAAATACAGCACACATCCTAGAACATATTAGGAAAAATAAGTTACTGCTTACAATCAGCCATGACAGGAATCTGAACGCTTGCGATAAGCAAGGCAAAGCACTCTGCACGTTGTAGTACAACATTTTTAATGATGCCTTAATCTCTGAATCACACAGTCAAAAAACCAATGAAAATAAATCACGCCAAATGGTTTTGTAAAGGGTATTTTGTTAACGTTTCTTGTATTAGCATTTACCATAGCCCTCTAAATAGTTACATTAGCTCGGGCACTCATTTCTCTGAGATGTCAAAGAATCTTAAGTCATTCAGTAGGGAAAAGCACCTATTTACTGAAGGTATACAAAATATCTACAGACCACACTACATTTTATATGGTGTAGAATAAGAATATTAAAAAAAAAAACAAAACAAAACACCAAACCAAACAAACAATAACCTACTCCCAACAGACTTTTAAGTGTGATATCTAATTGAGAATTTCTCTCTCTTACAAAATGTAGCATGGGAACTTTACTAGCTACAAGCAGCTTAAACTTTGAGGGCACTAGGAAGTGCCCCAACTGAACGAAGATTCATTACAATCTAAAGGTGGCCTCTTTCAAGTACTGATTCTTCCAGGTTCTGCTTATGCTAAGATACAGTTGCTGAAGGCATTCAGTGTGTGGAACGATGATAAGAAATCTCCTAAAAAGAAAAACGAACCAGCTTCATAGGTCAGTTATCTAAAAACTAGATAATTCTATGCTATTCAATATTAAGCTTTCCACTTACAAACAAATCTTTATACATAAGGCAAGCAATGAAAATTGGATTACTCAAAAGTTAAGCCACTATTACAACTCATCTGTTCTTAAACTACAGCGAGGCTCAAGAGTTCAAAGAAACTAAATTACGATGTTTGAGGAAGTTATTTTTGGATTTGTGTTTATACTAACTTTTACGAACAGCTTTTAATAAGAGATTCTGTAATAATCTGGTCACACTTCTCTACATTATATATCTCGCTGCATCAAAGACAAAGTTGAGAATTACAGTGCCATAGCAGGGGTCAACAAGTCAGACTCAGTATTCACTACACAGCGGAACAGGTCTATGTGAGAAGAGTACACTTTGCCACACAGTTTGCTATATCGTTTATTATATGAAGCAATCTGCTGCTACATCTTGCATGCTTTCCTGCCTAATAACATGGTGCTTCTACTCAGAGACACATGCCTTCCGCTCACCTCTGTGTTTCACTGCTGACTACTTATAACTAAGCATTCAAAAGACTTACCAGCTAAATTGTACTCACATTTCCCAATGTATTACATTCCAATAGAGTGAGTTTTGAATTGCAAAGTTTCAAAATGGACTTCTTGCAGTTCTCAGCATTTTGAAAGATTTTTGTTGTCATGGTAAGCCATGTGACTTTCATAACACTTCAGATGACTATTCCTTTACCTTTAATTTTCAATCTTCTTAGAAAAATTACTCATTTTCGAGTGATAATAAAACACCTGGCACATTAAGATTTGCACAGTTTCAGGACTGGACTGCTTGGGGTGATCAGTCTTGGAAATCTTTAATTTTTCTTTCTCTTTCCAGTAGCTCATTTAGATCAATCAGCTATCACTGACTTCTTGCTATGTATTTGGAGGAGTAAAAAAAGAACAAATAAATTGCATATTTGCATAAACTGCATATCCTCTTCCCTAAGAGAGAACTGTTCCATCAGAGAGAACTGTCAAATGCTACCCAGTGACATGATGCGACAATTCTTCCTTGCCCCTATGAATTAAATATTACCTCTGTTCTTTTTTTGATCCCTACTACTCAAAAGTAAATAGCCTCTTAACAAGAGATCGCAGAGCAGTCTGCAGCACATTCAATACACTGATGCTCTGTTCTGTTTTACACCATACCAGAAAGGGATACTTCAAGTTCTCTTGAGATCTTGTTATTCAGTTGAGCTTCGGTGTGACTTAGCTATTAGAAGTTCAGCTCACAGAAGGACAGACAGAACCAAAACTGGGAGGCAAAGAAATTGGAAAGCCATTTTGTTAACAGAATCTGCCTAGATATTGTATTTAAAATAAAAACATGTAATTCTGTTTTTATCTTATAGTACAGTTTACATTGCAATTTAAAGGATTACTGTGACTACACCTCTAACACCCACTTAACGTCAGCTAGGCATCACACTAGCCATGGGAAAATCAGCTCGAGAAAGGCAAACTAGCTTGCTGGAATGTTAGTTTTCCTAGGTTTCCTTGATTAGGCTAGGATTTTCCTTTTCTTATGAAGAAATTGCTTTATTTATTTATTTATTTATTTAAATCTCAAAGCTTTAGTATCTGTTCACAAATGCCAAGAAATTGCAAATAAAGTGCATGAATTTGAAAAAAGAAATAGTACTTTTCTTTTTATAACAAGGGAAAAAAGCCAAGTTCTCCAGATGTAAAAAAGGAATTTTCTTAACTGTTTGTTTTGTGATCAGTTTCCAGGCCCATTTTTCAGATTCATTCTAAACTACAAGTGCATTAAAATTAGATAAACTCTATACGAAATACACAGAAATAACACACATGCATGTTATGTTCTGATTTGCTGTTAAAACTCAATTTTCCATAGATGAGAAACTAAAAGCAAGGATTGAGACCCTTTAAAAATATATTTACTTTCTCCTGTTCAAAGTGACCCTTACCTCATTTACTGAAAGACAGCAAATGACAAATACAACTATTTCTGCAATACTGTATTCAGTGCATGCATACTGTATATTGGTGCACGCGTCTCTTGTGTGCAGCAACAGCTCACGTTGCCTCCTTACCCTCCTGAATGAAAATAAAACAAATGGAAGCTGTAACCCATCCTCATTTCTTCTGCAATACAATGAGTATCCACAAAACACCGCAAAAAACAGGGGAGCCAAACAGATTGTGTAGAATGTCTTAAAAGAAATACTTTTGTTACATGGTAAAGCAAAACAAAACAAAATTGTTCTTTACTATACAGTAAAGTAATTGTGCCTTCCTCTGCGACATAATAGCATGGATCCCACGCTAGATAGGATCCCTGGCAAGCAGTCTCATCACTGAACTGGTGGGACTGAAAAGCTTCAGCTGGATTTGTCCAATAATACCTGAAATACTGCTCTGCTTGATATCTGTTCCAACTGTTAAGTCAAAGGTGTTAAAAAGGATAAGACAGCTTTGCTGACCTCAGAATCATTTCTGAGGCTGTATTTGTTGCCTGTGCCTTGATTAAACAAACTACAATAATCAGCAGAAAGTTGTATCTTACCAGTGCGTTAAAGTTAACCTACCTCCTTGCAACAAGGACAAGAAGAATGTAAGTGACTGGAGCCTGAGAGATGCAAAGCACACAACATTTTCTATGTACAGAGTATGGTTTAAGGAAGACAAGAAATAGACAAGTTGACTGGCTCAAGGGTTCTCAGTCCATTTTTGAGTTAACAACATGGAACAGCGACATTTGGAACACACAAACCCATGAAAAGATAGGTTCAGCAATATTAGCTTGCTGCTCCCTGACACACACTGCAGAGGTAACAGTAGCAAGAAAAGATGGTCCAAAGCATAAACCTGAAAAATGGAATGTGTAAGGATAATGCTGTATCCCATGCACAGCTAGATCTCTTACTGGCACATAACTACATATAAAGCCCTCGGGAAACTTACGACACATAACAGCAGTAAGGAGACCAAATGTGTGAAACAGACACATTTTTGCTGCATCATCTTTTGAGCACCGCAAACTAGGCCAAAGTACCTCCAATAAAGCATGTTCTCAGAGACAAAGGAGATCAGACCCCAGCAAGGCCTAGGAAATGCTGAACTGCTCACTACTAATGATCTCTTTTTTGGAAGAGTCTGTTGGAGGGTCCCCACTCTCCTCTGTATTAATTCAATCTATCAGAAACAGCTGGCATGCACATTATTAGGGGCAGTAACTCAGGGCTTCCATATAGTATTTTTGATTCTGGGATATAATCTCAGACCAGCTGAAACACTGGTTACGCACATGGAGTGAGGGGGAAAAACAGTCATCTACAACACATGCAAAACCCATCAGAGGGATCACAACCATCCGTGTGACTTTGAAAAGTCTGGCCTTAAATATTATTGTGCAGACCAAAAGAAAACAAAATCAAAGATTTCTAGCAACGAACTTCGCTTCAGGAGAAGCACAAATTCAACATCTACATGACGATATTCAAAACACTTTACTTAGTATGACCGCTCATTCTGATACTAGGATGTGAATTTGGGTAGAGGAGGATCATTCTGTCCCAAACTAGAAAATTATAGTTCATCACAAGGGCCTGCAAGTCTCACAGGTTTGCAGTTCTAGAGTGAAAAGAAGAGGTAGAACAAAACTAATCTTCCGTTATGTTAATCCTCTTTCATGCTCTCGTTAGACTTCACCTGTGCTACAAAAGAGTATCAAGAAGTCTGGCTTGAGGTACAAAGTCATACCATTAGTTGATGAGGACACAAAAACATCTTCTGAGACAAAGATGAACTGTGTTACTTTCCTCCCACATACAGGAAGAGTGAAATTTGTGGCCCTGAATTACTGATTCTTAGCCAGCTTCATGGAAAATGACTTAACTTTTGCAGAACAGGATAGGCAGCTACTGAGTTGAATGCAAGCAAAGGGTCACAGTAATTCCCAAAGGGCCACGATGCTAGTCTTTAATGATCTGATCAGCTCCACACATCTGTCAACACTAGTATTCCAGCAGAGCTTGAGGTCCTGAGGTACAGCCAGGCTTTCAATAATCAGCTTCAGGACAGAAGACTGCCCACCAAATGGGAGCAGCAAGGCATACCCCAGCCACAGCTGTTAATGAACATCGTTCCTCTATACATAGTAATGACATGCACGGTGCTCTTATTGCCATGTTAATGGTGATAGATACTTTTCTTTATAATGGCTTTCAGTTTGAGAACAAATCTCAAACGTGACATTTGTTAGTATTCTCCATGACTATTAAATTCGATCAAGTG